GTCACGTCCTTCTGGTGGGGGACTTCAGCCTGCATGCAACCGAATTTCCAGCATCGTGCAGCGAACAAATCAATGTTGACTTACAAGAGGTGATTGCCGATATACATCTAAAACCATATCACCACTCCCATGGGATTCCGAACGGATGACGCACTCTCTGTTTTGGACCATGTGATCACCAATGAGAAACGAATGGTCGACACCTTGAACATAGATGCACCACTTTGCCGCAGCAATAGCGCGATTTTACTATTTCTTAGCATCTTCTGCTCTTGGTACATCAGTGAGATTAACGACGAAACCCGTTATTACACGTTATGATATTCTGTCCAACTTCGTTCGAAAAACCGATTGATCCTTCTTGGCCGAGCAGCCATCCGATGTCGTTTTGATTGTATTAATCACCTATTTCACCAAGCTAGTGCCAAATGCGTCGGAAAGCAGTCTTTCGCCCGAAGCAAGTGAACTCTTTCCTGAGGTGTATTAGAAAGTACATGACCTTAAGTGATTCAGCCTGGCACGCTTGCAAACATTACCCAAGTAATCTGACCTGGAACGTATACACAACTCAACGAAACCACTGCGGCAAGTTGATCCGCGAAGACAAACCCTAGCACCAACCGAGCTTGGCGGCGAAATTCAGTACGAATCCCAAGTTTCTGTATTTACACATCAACAAGCTCCGATGGGTGAAGCGGATGATCCCATTTTTACGTGCAACAGATGGTCTGGCGTAAACTGCACAAGATGAGACCAACTTGCTTCGCCAAAACTTCATCCACACTTTCCAGAATGAATCCTCGTTCCACCCGCTTTTGACACAGCTCACATCACTACCAGGATTGAACCACTATGGTTCACAGCATCCAATGTGATGAAAAGGCTAATGTCATTGCACGTGTACAGCTCACCTGGCGTGGACGACAGCAAACCGAACACATTGAAGCCAGCCGCCACGAATCTTGCCGAACCATTAGCTCGGTTCTTTCAACTTAGTCTCAAGGAAAGGCAGGTTCCTACCATGTGGAAACATGGGCTGATCACACCTGCTTACAAAAGTGTTAATTGTACGAAACCCTCAAACTACCGCCCAATTACTTTCCTCCAATCGTTATCTAACTTAATGGATGGTATAGTCGCAGAGGCGTTTATGGGATAATATGAGAGCAACAACCTCTTGGTGTCACAGCAGCACGACTTCCGCCAAAATCGATCTTAACTACAAACTTGCTTTTAGCCCCAACAAGCTGGACAGAATTAGCCGATGCTTGAGTGGGAGTCGATGTTGTCTAGCTGGACTTTCCTAAAGTTTTTGCTCGGTTGGATCATCGCATTCAACTGCACAATCTTAGAAGATATGGAATCGGTGACCCTGTGCTCGGCTGGATAGGCAACTTCCTCATTCAACATCAGCTGAATGTGAGAGTCCGCAGCTCGATTTTAGACCCTATGACTTCCGTTTTGGGGTGCCTAAAGGATCGTTACTGGGGCCCAGTTTATTCCTAGTATTCATTATGGAACTTGCCAGTGTACTCAGTCGAATTTCCTGCTTTCTGTAGATACTGTCAAAATCTGCATGAGATCATGACAGCTGATGATCACATGGTATTGCAGAGCCATCTCGATAGGGCTTAGACGGGATTATCCAATAACCTGCTCCAGTTCAACACGGCGAAGTGCAAACTCGTGAGCGTACGCTATCCACTTACCCATGAATGTCGACTTGGGGACCAGCAGTTCCAGAGTGCATACCGGGCTAGCGACCTCGAAGTAGTCGTAAAGGACAATATTTGCTGTTCGATACAATCCAAAAAGGCATCAAAGAGAGCCAGTCACCATCTTAAACTCTTAAGGAGGGCTTTCCGTAAACGCTGAACTCCTACGTGAAGCCTCACGTGGAATATGCGATCCAGACCCGCTCCTCATGGCGCCAGCGTATCGTCGGTGCACCTGAAGTTCCACGATGTAGGGCAAGCAAACTCGTTAGAAGATGGTTTCACCTCCCCTACCAGCGCAGGCTGCAGGCCCTGGGATTGTACAGTGGAGTAGATTGATGTCAGTGAGGGGATTTTTTTAAATAAATAAATAAATAAATTGTATATGGCTCGACGATGCGAGAAGCCGTTCCCAGAAGGGACGGATCAAATAATGGTACAGCAGTTTCATATCATGGTATAATAAATTTTAAAAAATGTGAGCACAAAATGAAAATTTGTGTAGCGCGAAGCGGTCCAAAATATTTACATTCCTCTTGTTCTATCGTCTGACAAGTTTTTAGCAGTCACATGAGAGTTGATCGCACACGAGAAAAAAAAGAGAATAAAGTGCTGCGGGCCAACAAAATATAACCACTTGTGCACTTGACCACATGCATTTTCAGGCACCATTAACTCCGTTCTCAAAAGCGTTATCTAAGGACTGTGCTGTTCGAAACATTATTATCACATTTTGAACGGTTAAATAATCTTTTATCGAAAGCTTAAACAAACGCAATGTGCAACAAGTTCTGATAGCTCTTGGAAGTTTGTTCCAAAGCTTTGAGCAGTGTAGTAAGAAGAAACGCTCCCTAATTCGCGTCTTGAACTTTGGAATCATGACCGTTGTCTCCTTATTTCGTAGCTCGTATCTAGTGTTAACGGCCATATGGACACAGTTAGCATAATAGTGCATGTGATGGTGAATTATTCTGTACAGGTAACACAAGTTCATCTTCATGATCCGTAGCCAAATTGGGTCAAGTCCAAGTTTTTCACTGCGCTCTCTGTAGGTCATCTTGGAGGAATATCCGCACAGCTTCTTTGTAAAGCGTCGCTGTACCCTCTCAAGAGCATGTTGGTCAGATTTCCGCAGATTCGACTGTATTAGTGAGCAGTATTCCATGCCAGGTAACACATATGTTTTATAAAGCCAGATACGAGATTCTGTGAGTTGAAATTTATGACAGATATAGTCAATAGTCTTCATGGCTTTCGAAACTTGGCAGTCACAATGTTCCGAAAAGTTGAAGGTAGTGGAATACCGCACACCCAAGTCGCGAATCACTTTGCACTGTGATATAAACGTGCCTTTTAATAATAGACTATCTGGTGGAACTTCGCATCTGTACGACAGAATATTACATTTGTCCACGGAAAAGGACATCTGCCACAGTTTGCTCCAGGATTCAAGTGCCGATAGATCTTCCTGAATGTGGCACAAGGCTGCGCGAGTATCTGCACGTTCTTGTGAGTAGACGATTTTAATGTCATCAGCAAACAGAAAAGTAGCACCATGTCTTATTCTATGAGATACATCGTTGACGTAGAGGAGAAAAAGATGTGGACCAAGTACACTTCCCTGAATTACTCCACTGGTGACTGCTTTCGGTTTAGAGACACGGTCCCCAATACGCACCACCTGATGTCTGTCAGCTAGGTATGACGACAACCAAGAAAACATTGGTTCTCCAATACCCATTTCTTTCAGCCTGAGGAGTAGTCTTCGATGTAGAACTCTGTCGAATGCTTTTTGCATGTCTAAGAACAGGACAATAACACTGTTGCCTTTGTCTATGGCAGCCGTTGTGTGATTTAAGAAGTCTGTCTGGCATGTCGCACAAGATCTACCCTGCAAAAAACCGTGTTGTGAATTGTTGATGACGTTTTTCTTATTCAAGAAAATAAGTGATTCATCTTTCACTATCCTTTCCATAATTTTAGATATTACAGGTGTGTGGTTGATGGGGCGATAGTTTTTAATTTCGTGAACGTTTCCATTCTTATGCCGCGGGATAACAACGGAAGTCTTCCAGTGCTTAGGATATACTGCACTGTTAAAAGAGAGCGTAAAAATGTTGGGCAATAGAAGAGGCAAGTCGCTCCCACCACTTTTTAACAAACAAGGGGGAATTCCATCAGGTCCTGGGTAAGTCGAGGAAGACAAGCGGGAGACTTGACCGGAGATTTTTGCAATAGTGAATTCCACTGTGCATAAACTTTCAGCAATGTGTGGTGTGACAAGCGCTGGTGTGGCTAGCGGTTCATCTACCATTGATTCGGCAAAATAGGCGCTGGAAGCCTCACAAATTTCACCCGGAGCATCAAGGTATGTGCCATCCGGCATAATGATAAAATTGATGGAATGACTGCGACGCAAACCTCTGGCACAAAACAGTTTGGGCAATTCCGTTGTTTTATTCGGGCCATTCACAGCTTTGTATTCTTCTAGTATGAGATTGCGAACATTTAGATGCCCGAGTTCCGCGATGATCTTTGCCTGCTGCTTTAGGTAATACTGAGGAACCCAATGCACCCTTGTCGCAAGGTGTTGCAGCTGGGCCAGAATACCAACCAGAGAGGCCATCAGCTCAAACTCGCAATGCACTACAGTCTACTTGATTGTCGACGAAACCTTTTCTCCCTGCGTTTGTCCGTTGCCTGTAACGCCCTTCCGACTCAGGTCATCCTTGCCCCTACATTAAGGCTATTCAGAAAACGCCTTTGTGACACGCTTTCCAACTTGCAGTATGTGATGTAGTTTATTTCACTCGGAAGACAGACTAACACAAAGCAAACCATGGGCTGAACAGCCCGCTCCGCAACGTCGAGGTGTGGATACATGCGTAAATGTCCTTGTGTGTAACACGGATGTATATAAGCTGGATTAACATAACACATCAGTCAAATGAATCAACACACGTGTGGGCGTCGTCATTTCTTTTTTATCTGTCATGGAGTTAAGGAAATATAATTGCTCTCTATACTATGTTATGTGTGCACCACTTATTTCCTTCTCAATCGATCGATATGCAGCAGTGCATTTAAATTGGTAAATGCTAAAATGACAATTTAGTTATTTGTTGACCCTATCAATCTTAACTTTTACTCCAACCATCCTACGGGACTTGTCAAGCACATGCTATTTTACCCGTGATAACTCATTGTTCATTGAATTTGCTTGGTCACATCCATTATCCTATTTGGCAGTGAACCACACAAGCCTTTTTCTTCTTTCTCCATTAGACCTACCGTTGAGGAAAGAAATTCACGAAGTCCATCTCCTGAGCTGGAGATGGTTCCATCAACAAGACCATCGCTACGCCGCTATACTGTAATCGAGCGTTTTGTCATTCATCCAGTTCCAATGAAAGTACAAGTGATGTATAGTAATATGAACAATAGCTGGGAACACAGGATTGTGTACTATGTTAATCAATACTGGAATCCACACGTGCGTTTCGGCTCGGTATTGCCAATGTTGCTTGAAATGGAACGGGATGTAGGCCCTGGCTGGAGACTAGACAAAGTGATTCGGAATGATGTTGTTCGAAGCAACGCAGTACCGAACAGTACAATAACCTTTTGTTTTCCTCCTAATAAGGAGTTGTATTCGATTTGGCGTCGATACATTTAGTAATTATATCTACTGGGCACCTTTCATGAAAGAAGCTTTTATATATTAAAAGACCTAATCTGGACTTCTTATTTTGCCAATACAAGTGGGTGCTTATACAATTCCAGCTTTTTAGAATTAGAAATACCACCGATTTCTGTTTCCAATGTCAAGGAATTGTTAATCAATCAGTATCGTAGTTGAGCCCGATATCCTTACTGATTAAAGTGTTTAGACGCTCCAGTAAGGACAATAATTTCCTAGGCCTCATATATCTGATAAGTCAAGTAGCTTGGTTGTTGCCATAATTTACTCCTGAGTACAAACGTATAGACGATTAGCCTGGTCAAATTGAAGGAATATGCTTCAAAATTAAAGTAACGGATTGATTCACCGTATCATTACCAAGGTTCCGTGGGAGTAACCGTAATAACTTTGTTTGCGTTTATAATTTTTATTTGTGCGATTTTTATAAGCTGGTTTGGGTTGGGCCGGGGCTGATATGCGGTTGGTGGCATCCGCTTTCGGATTCGCCTTTCGCCGCCGGTTCAATAGGATAGCAACAAGACTTCCGCGCCTACAGAAGGACTATAGGTGGCTTACACTGCACCACCCACAGTTCCATGCACACATCATATCCAGCGTAAACCTGAAGGAATAAAGCCAGGAGGCACGTGGATGAAAGCCACGCTTCCTCAACGGAGCCGACTCATACTCCAAAAACCATCATAACTGTAGAATTCCTGCTAATCTATGTGGGGAATCATGCGTACCAGGCGTACACAACGCAGTGACTGGACCGTAGTCCTCTGCATATTGGATGAAAGCACTCTTTGAACCTAGCACGGTCACAAGAACTATGCACCCCGTCCCCCAGCAACGATTCGCTGTCTCCTGGAGCCAGTATTCGAGGTGGAGGGTGGTAAACAAGTAGGCACTGTCAAAATTCACATCAAGCGCAGTCAACCAGAGATATTAAAAAATAACACCGAATTTGAGGAACATAAACACGCAAAACTGGCACGGAAACTGCAGCGGGATAACAGAACTGAGCAAATCAAAACAGTTTGGTATCTTTATTCAGATTACGTGTAATTCGGTGTCTCAAATTCAATGAATTAGTATGATGTATGTAGCACCAACTTCAGTATTATGCACGATGCTGTAATATGAGCACTTAAACTCGCTGTCTTTACTAGATGCTTCATTTGATAGCGACTACGGCATAGCATGACTACGGCTGTTCCAAACTTGGAACAACAAGCTTCCTTTCTTTACCAGATGCTGATATTCACAGTGTATTAAGTCGGCAATTTCACTCCCCTTTTTACGTCACGACATCGTCAGACATTTCTGCTACTGCTGCTTCCATGAAATATACAGATTAACAAAGATTAAGAGACGAACGCATAACTGGGCTCAGAAACGACTTATTTTTCCCTAAGTCCCATCATATCGTATTTAGACCTGATGTTAGTGACTATCTGAATCGGTACTGCTTGTTGTATCAAGAAAGCGACAAAAATGTAGGGTGCGTGTAGCCGTATTCAATAGGCGGCAACCGTCGCAATACACAGAATAAAAAATACTAACCGGCTGGATTTCACACAACCAATGAGAAGAGATCCGCTGTTCCCATCAGCCAATGAAACTTGAGTAGGGATATCGTCACAAATCGACCACATGCGCCACTCTTCCTTTAGAGGGGCCGCGTAACGCTGGCTGGTATGAATCGACAGGCTTCGGAGATTTGGTAGACCGACGAAGCTGACTTCCCGATGGCGGTGATTCGGCTTGGTGTTTTTTCATATATATATATATATATATATATATATATATATATATATATATATATATGGGTATATCAACACAGGGGATCGCAACGACTCGATAACCACACCTCGTTCCGGTGTGTATACCTACTAGAAAACGAATTGGGAGATGTGAAGTCATACTGCCATACCCACAACAATTCGGTCAGTTTATACGATTGATTCTGTTACCCAGAATGCTGTCTTCAATTAAACTACGTCCTGCTAATCCTATAGCCCCTGCTTCGGGCACATTAATAAAACGTGAGGTTACGTCGGACTTTATCAGCAATAAATGCAGTTTGATAGTGGGTCCTGCGACCTTTTGCGTGAATTCGTAGTTCTGCCCAAACGTGATCTGTGTTTCCAGATGGTCTGATTTATTCAGTACAACCTTGTTTTTTCCATTTTTGTCTTTGTGACCCCAATATTGCGAGCTTCCTTAAAGAATCTTACCGCAATACGTGCTGTTGTTGCAAGAATGGGTCGTGTTGGTTGTTGTAATTCGATGGTATTCCCAAACTGTGCACGAATATTCTATGCTCGTGCTGCAGGTAACTGATTATTACGCTCTTCAATGAAGGGTACAATGGATTCTGCTTGTGAATTAGTTTATTCACATTAAAATCTAATCCTTTTAGCAATTGTAACTGTAGTTTATGCAGGACCCGGTTATTTTAACCACGTTAAAATGTTTCTAATGAAATGTGGACCTGTCGGCAGAACCGGTGTTTTTGTACTGCATAGACATCAAGCTATCGAACTGGTGAATTCGTCTTTCTTTCCAATCTTGCCCTAATTTCAACTTCACTACTAAACCCTTGTCGAAAATTTGTAGTGGTTAGAAGGCTTAACGGCGGTCTACAGCTGCAGATTCAGTCTATTTGTGTCGAGGCAAGCCTCCCCTACCCTATATTTGCCAAGTAAATCCGTTATCCCAAAACGACTGGGGATGCCCTGAACACAGTACTTGCGAAAGTGAAGGGAGACTGATTATTCTAAAGACTCTCCACGATTTCATAATTTAAAGGACATTAGAATGAGTTTGCGATTACTTCGTCAGAACTTGATTGTCGAAGCATTTGAAACTGTACATTCAAGTTACGTTAACATAATGGAGGCAGTAGAAGTCGTAAGTGCGTGGCGATGATCTTAATCCAACTAGCCGGATGAACGCTGAAGCGCCGATCCAGTTTGAAAGCGTATCCCGGCTCCCTATCGCTACCACTATGAACACAAGGGAGCGATCAGACTGTTCCTACTGTGGCTGACCTACTTGAGTTGATGTTCTGACCTGTGACTACAAGGATCCCTTTGCTCATTGCTCTGGTATTGCGATTATCCTCACTGTTTGCTATGAAATGTCGCACAAATTTCAGGCTGATTCAACTAGCTTGACGAAGCTTCCGCGTTAAAAGTTGAGCAACAAATACGCCAACCAATTTTACTCACGCTACTCTGAACTGATGATATCTTGATCGGTTTCCATAGTATTCCGAGTTTTGGTAGATCGGCTATCTGCATTTGCTCCGCGTAGTCAGCTTGCATGGTTACGAGCATTATAGTGCGGAATGGCGAATAGACTACAAATCAAAATGCAAGCAATATCCATGTCCAATTCTAGACAGGGTATTACAAACTCTATCGCTGACTTTCTCCGTGGATGCTGCATACAGGAAGCACACCTATTGAATGAACCACCCGAGAGAGCGTGTTGTTTCTAGATCCCTCTTTGGATCAAATTGTCATGTAATCTTTGTTTAAGTTCTGAACGTAACTATTTATCTTTTCCATTTGGACAGCTGATTGTCGTTCATATTTGAGTTTTCTTTAGGAAAGTTTTGACCAATCTTTCACGCCAGATTCAATCAAATAGTAATCGGTGGCATAAAAAATGTAACCAATGTACACCTACCCAAAACTTTCAGTCTCCTTTCTACAAATCGGCTCAAACTAGTTCATTTTATAATTGTTATGATACTGCAAACTGACAATTACAGCTATCACGTACTTAGAACCTTATTATAAAAATGTAAAGACATTTCTGAGAAGCAGGCTCCGGAAACAAATGAAACTGAGTGATTCAATTGGAAATGTCTCCATAATCGAGCGAAACCACTATGTCAAACCTATCCGCGAGGACAAAGGGAAATATCCACAAAATTTGGCGAATAATTTTTCTGCAATTCTAAGTTACTTTACAGCCATGCTAATAAAGTTAGCAAGAGTACAATGCAACATCGCGCATGTAACCGCCGTCTGTATGAAAGCGCGAACGGTCCAAGAAGCAGCTAGTGCTCTTAGATGTCAATTCGCCGGTACATTTCAGAAGGCACCACATTCTCATACAAATCACGTCACTACCATGACTTAGTCACATCACTTTCACTGTCGTGAACGTTCTGAAACGTATGACGTCCCTACGTGATTACTATTTATCTAGTCCGGTTAACTCGCCCCAAGTCATTAATGCTAGCTACCAACTAGGTGGAATCGGGGAATCGCTGTCCCATTGACAAGGGAAGCAATCGCGCATGGCCCACAAACTTTCGCCCGATTACTCCTTCCGGTGCTCCCTAAGTTCGTGGAGTTCGCCTTTGCAGAAACACTTTTGGGATAATTAATAAGGCGCAATATAATCGCGGAGGAGCAACGTGGATTCCGCGAAAAACGGCTCACATACCACGAAAATTTGTTAGCCCCTGTCAACTGGACGCAATTCGCTAATGTTGCAAAATTTGTGGACACGTCTTACTTTAAATCTTCTAAAGCTTTTGATTGTCCAGATCATTACATTCTTCACTACAAACTTCGGAGCCAAGGGATTGGTGAATCTATTTGGGACTGGATACATTCACTCCTAGTCTCACACCGCTTGAATGTGAGGGTTTGTGGCGTCCTGTCCGACGCGACAGAGGTTCGTTATGTCGTCCCTCAAGGCTCAATATTAGGACCGCGGCTATTTTAGTGCATATAAAAGACAGCACAGGAGCGTCAACGTCGAACTTTATACGCTTTGTGGACGATCTCAAAACTCGGTTGGCAATAAAGATGATTTACGACTACATAGCACTGTAAGGTGATCCCGCTTCATCCGCGGGAAAGATTTTGCATAACGCAGAGCACAAAAGGCAGGGAGGTGCGGTTGAGAATGTGACCAAGACAAAGACCTACCCGGCGGCGGTGCGCACTGGATATGAAAATGCAACTAGTCGTAACCAAACTTCAAACCGAAAAAAACAGGAAAACAGCCACTAG